GGGACAGTGGATATAATGAACAGGAGGGACAGTGGACATAATGAACAGGAGGGACAGTGGATATAATGAACAGGAGGGACAGTGGATATAATGGACAGGAGGGACAGTGGATATAATGGACAGGAGGGACAGTGGACATAATGGACAGGAGGGACAGTGGATATAATGGACAGGAGGGACAGTGGATATAACGGGCAGGAAGGACAGTGGACATAATGGACAAGAGGGACAGTGGACATAATGGACAGGAGGGACAGTGGACATAATGAACAGGAGGGACAGTGGACATAATGAACAGGAGGGACAGTGGATATAATGAACAGGAGGGACAGTGGATATAATGGACAGGAGGGACAGTGGATATAATGGACAGGAGGGACAGTGGACATAATGGACAGGAGGGACAGTGGATATAATGGACAAAGGAAGTTGAGTATGTTGCTGACAGGAGGAAGAAGAGAGGAAGATTACAGAGAAGGTACATATATATGTTGTGAAGATGTTTGAACTTGTTAAGAAAATGTGTAACTTGTTTGTTGGTCAGGTGTTTGCAGCTCGTCTTTTGACAGGAAAGAAGGAATCACTTCATGCCTGTTTAATGAATGCAGTTTGGATTTTCTGCTTGTTTTCAGGAGTTTAATTGGAACTGAACTTTTACACCTCAGATCCAGACGCTAACAGATGGAAGACCTAAAAATATAAACTCTTCTGGAATTCCTGCCAAAAAATAAAAACAATTTTGAACACAATCATGTTCCCATCTTATTAGAGTGAAAGTTAAAAGTTTTTCAGTTACATTGATCATTTGAAGTTCTTTGAAAAAGCCACTTATTTGTTTTTCTTTTTTTTTCATTTGAATTGAGATAAAGTTTTAAATGTTATGCTTAAACTCCCAATTTTTGTGTTTGTAAAATGTCAAATTCTTTCGCAGATGACTCATTTTCCTGTTTTGCATATTCATATTTCTTGGATGAAACTATTTTTTCTCAAAGCAAATTTGCTTTATCCTGAAATATCATAACCTGCAGAGATCTTTCAAAACAAGACAAGCAGAGGAAAACAAAACAAGCAACCCAGTATGTTTCGTCTGCTCTGATCTATGAGAAGTTATCATCATTATCTATTATAGTTATCATCAGGAAGCCAAATAGTACACCTAAACACTGAAAATTCCCAAACAAGCACAGTTACAACATTTACAAACTTTACATTTACAGCATAAATCTACACCATGTAGATTTATTATTTTTATTTATATTATTTATGTTCAAGATGTTAAAGACAAAAGTTTACGAGACTTGAAAATACAGAGTAAAGCAAATCATTTGGCTCTTAGCTTCTGTAAGAACTCCACCCATTCTTGGGTGTAAAAACCCGTCCATTTTGACTGGTGGTTAGTGAAACACCTGGTGTTTGGTAATAAAACAATGTTAAATGTGATAATTGTACTTGTTTAAAGCTTTTAAGCATTAAAACTTTATGTTGGGTTGCATTGTGGGGAACATACAGTAAGAGTAAWCTGTTAAAAAACAGTTTCCCTATTGTCTTGCTTGTTTGAGCATCTCTTCGTTAGCACCTAACCTCTTTAAACAACAAGTTTCTTGGAAATAGTCCCTGAACACAGAGATAAGTTTGTATTTCTATCTTTATTAGGACTGTGTTTTAACTTCCATTAATTCCTTAATCTAATAAACTTAATCTAAACTAAATTCATACCTTAGTCCTAAACCTAACCTCTAACCTAAAAATGGTGTTCCACCACATTAGGACCAGGTTTTGGTCCTCAAAAGGATTGCTGGTCCTGCCAAGGTAAGTGTGTATACTAGAAAAGATATTAAAAAGGAAACAAAACCTGGCACACACACTCACTCACTAACATTAGTTGACTAGACTCAGTGTTTGAAATGGTAACAGACTGACTAAATAAGGGTGTAAAATTATTTTAGTACGAAAAAATTTATTTGTCATTAATGCATGTTCCCATACAATGATGAGATTTGTGCATTTGACCCATCACACCCAGGTGGAGCAGCATGTAGCTACAATATTCAAGCACCTGGGGCCTCATGTATCAATGGTGCGCACGCACAAAAAACTTGCGTACGTCATAATCCACGCAAAACTCAGAATGTATCAAAACTCAACTGAACGTGGAAATGTGCGCAGCCCCACGCCAACT